ACTGCACTCCAGTCTGGGTGACAGAGTGAGACTCCAACTCAAAAAAAAAAAAATGCAGATCCAAGCACACACACACCTGTCCACTCGCTCTGCATCAAGCCGGGTCAGTGACAGCAACATTTACTGAGTGTTTGCAAAGTGCCCAGCACTGCTCTGGCACTTGACATGTGTGGGTTTAACACACCATCTTAACAATCCTATGATGCAGTACCTTGGTCTTTTTTTTTTTTGAGTCAGAGTCTCACTCCATCACCCAGGCTGGAGTGCAGTGGCATACACACGGCCACCCCAGCGTTGACCCTCTGGGCTCTGGCGATCCTTCCACCTCAGCCTTCCAAGTAGCTGGAACTAGGATGTGCGCCACCACACCAGGCTAGTTTTTGTGATTTATTACAGAGACGGGGTCTCACCAAGTTGCCCAGGCTTGTCTCGAACCCCTGAGCTCAGGCAATCCTCTTGCCTCGACCTCCCAAGTGCTGGGATTATAGGCTGAGGCACCGAGCCTGGATGATACATTGTTTTTAAAAGGTCATCTTGAGCCGGGCTCAGTGGCTCAGCCTGTAATCCTGCACCTTTGGGAGGCTGAGATGAGCGGATTGCCCGAGCCTGCAGCTTTGAGACCCGCCTGGGCAACTTGGCGAGACCTCATCTCTACAATAAATCAAAAATCAGCTGGGCGTGGTACCGCACGCCTGTAGTTCCAGCTACTCGGAAGGCTGAGGCAGAAGGATCGCCGGAGCCCAGCAGGTCGAGGCTGTGGTGGCCGGGAGCGGCCACTGCACTCCAGTCTGGGCAACAGAGTGAGACTACAACTCAAAAAAAATAAAAATAAAAATAAAATAAAAGGTCATCTTGAAAGCCTAGTGTAGATACCTGGGTTTTGGACTGAAAGAGGGTGATTGGTTTTTGCACCACTAAAGCTCCTAGGAAGAAGGTGCTGGAAGATGTAAACACCACTATTTTGTAACCCAGAAAATGGATTACTTTGATGGAAAATAAAAACAAAAACTCAATTCATTAACAGTAACAATGGGCAAACCTTTGAGTTCTGGTACCTACCATCAAGGTCCTCAAATGTCCGAGTATGAACAGGCTGTATTTGGCTCGTGTAATGGTGACATTCAATCTCTGCAAACTGGCCAGAAATCTAAGCAATAAAAAGAAAAAAGAGTCACTTCTTTCCATAGGATGAGTTAACATACCCATGTGAGTGAGACACAAACAGTGCTTTAGCCAGCTTTGCCAATGCTCCTTCTACTTTTTTAAAAGTCGCAGTGCTTTTTCATTGTGTGTCCCAACACAGGGCACCTGTTCCAGAAGTTCCCATTAAAAACATCAACAGGCCGGGCTTGGTGGCTCAGCCTGTAATCCCAGGACTTTGGGAGGCTGAGGCGAGTGGATTGCCTGAACCTGTGGGTTTGAGACCCACCCAGGCAACTTGGCGAAACCTCGCCTCTACAATAAATCAAAAATTAGCTGAGCGTGGTAGCACATGCCTGTAGTTCTGGCTACTTGGAAGGCTGAGGCGGAAGGATCACCTGAGCCCAGCCAGTCGAGGCTGTGGTGGCCGGGAGTGTGCCACCACACTCCAGTCTGGGCAACTCAAAAAAACAAAACAAAACAAAACAAAACATCAACAAACCAAACCCCTGGAGCTTTTCTTCAAAGTGACACCTTTATCTATCAATTTCCTATTTGGACCTGGATGAGATACAGAGAATTTTATTGAGACAGTATGACCTTTAAACCTTAAAAATATTCTAAAAATACCATACTAGTTCAATTACTACTTCTTTTTTTTTTTTTTTTTTTTTTGAGTTGGAGTCTTACTCTGTTGCCCAGGCTGGAATGCAGTGGCATACTCACAGCCACCGCAACCTCAACCTGCTGGGCTCAGGCGATCCTTCTGCCTCAGCCTTTGAAGTTGCTAAAACTATAGGTGCATGCTACCACAGCCAGTTTATTTTTGATTTATTGTAGAGATGAGGTCTCACCAAATTTCCCAGGCTGGTCTTGAACCCCTGAACTCAGGCAATCCTCTCACCTCAGCCTCCCAAAGTGCTGGGATTATAGACTTGAGCCACCACAGCCGGCCCTTCATTTTTTTTTTTTTGAGCTGTAGTCTCACTCTGTTTCCCAGGCTGGAGTGCAGTGGCATGCTCACGACCACCGAAGCCTCGACCTACTGGGCTCAGGTGATTCTCCTTCCACCTCAGTCTTCCAAGTAGCTGGAAACACAGGTGTGCACTACCACACCCAGCTAATTTTTTGATTTATTGTAGAGACGAGGTTTTGTCAAGTTGCCCAGGCTGGTCTTGAACTCCTAGGCTCAGGCAATCCTGTCGCCTACACCTCCCAAAGTGCTGGGATTACAGGTGTGAGCCACCATGCCTGACCTCAATTACTTCATAAAGTAAATATATTTAGATTGTTAAAACACTGCAGAACTGGTGCAGAAATGCACAAACAAATATTTCAACAGATCAGAAAGGAGCTCAGGAACAGAACTGTTATAAAAGTGAAATTTCAAATTAATTGGGGAAGAATTGACTATTAATAACACAGTTCTGAGATAACTGACCTCTATCTGTATACGTAGTCCAACCTAGGGGTCACTTAAATAAGCATCTTCTTTAAAAACAACTAAACTAACTTACAGTCTGTAAATTCCATCTGCTTTTTATGAGAAAGAAGAAATATTCAAATTAACAGTCTTGGGCCCAGAGACTTACCTATATAAGTGTCCTTAGCATCTTAAGTAGTTAAGACCATAGATAAGCTTAATACACTTGGCCAAAGCAGGAAATCAGAGCCAGAAGTGACAAAAGCCCACCCATTATAACACAAACCAGGCATGGGTAAAAGGTGCCCTCAAAGTACACTTAATCCAAACGTTTATTTCATTCTTTTTAAATAACAGGTTCACATTCAAGACACCAAGAAAAGCAGACCTAACAGTGGATCTTTTTTTTTTTTTTTTTTTTAAGTTGGAGTCTCACTCTGTCTCCCAGTCTGGAGTGCAGTGGCACGCTCCCTTCCAAGGCAATCCTTCCACCTCAGCCTTCCAAGTAGCCAGAACTACAGGCGTGTGCTACCACGCCTGGCTAATTTTTTGATTTATTGTAGAGACAAGATCTCACCAAGTTGCCCAGGCGGGTCTCAAACCTGCGGACACAGGCAATTCTCTCACCCTAGCATTCCAAAGTGCTGGGATTACAGGCTGAGCCACCAAGCCCAGCCAACAGCGGGTCTTTTTTACAACTTAAAATAGAAACCTTCATGATATACTTCCAAGTTTTTCTTCTTTTTTTGAGTTGGAGTCTCACTCTGTCACCAGGTTGGGGTGCAATGGCATACTCTCAACCACCTTAGCATCGACCTGCTGGGCTCAGGCGATCCTTCTACCTCAGCCTTCCAAGTCGCTGGGGCTACAGGCATACGCTACCACACCTGGCTTATTTTTTGGTTTATTGTAGAGATGAGGTCTCTCCAAGCTGCCCGGGATGTTCTCGACCCACAGACTCTGGCAATTCCCTCACCTCAGCCTCCCAAAGTGCTGGGATTATAGGTTTGAGCCACCACGCCCAGCCCAAGTTTGTCTTTTGCAAAAGACAATTTATAAAGCAAATAATGGTGCTCTTTAACAGTGATTGGTAATGACCCTAATTCTGGATTATAAACAAGTAAAAAAGCAACAAGGACAGTTACTCACCCAATTGAGCCCTGCACAGCATTTGCTCGGACACATGTAACAATAACACAGTCCTTCTGACGGCCCTGGAAGCCATCCACAGTATCTACTTCTGCTGCTGTTCTGTTTTGTAAATATACAAAAGAGAAACATGTTTACTGGAAAAAGATAATTATTAAATAATCATCATTTATAAAGTAGTAGTTTTTTATTTTTTAACTTTTTTTTTCTTTAAGAGATGCTGAGGCTGGACCTGAACTTCTGGGCTTAAGTGGTCCACCCGCCTCAGTCTCCCAAGTAACTGGACCATAAGTGTGCACCACCACACCTGGGCATTAAATTTTTGAAATGGTATCTTGGCAGTTAGTCTCCATTTTTCTCTGGTAACCAACATCTACTTTGTCTCCACTGGAAATTTCACATAAATGGAATTCTAAATTGATTCTTTGTAACCGGCTTTTCCCCTTAGCATAACATTCCCAAGGTTCTTCCATGCTGCAGCATGTTAACAGCACTTCATTCCTTGTTTGATTAATATTTTATTGTATGGTCATATCACAACTGATTTATCCATTCATAATGACATCTGAATCATTTCCACTTTATGGCTATTCTGACTGATGTTTCTATGAACATTCCTTCTGGTATATTCCTAGGAATGACACTACTGGGTTTTGAGGAGTCATCAAACTGTTTTCTACAATGATCCACCATTTTACATTCTTACCAGCAATGGTTCTGATTTCCCCACATCCCCCTAACACTTGTTATTGTCTGTTTTTATTACAGGTTGCATACCCCAAATCCAAAAATCTGAAACCCAAAATGCACCAAAATCTGAAACTTTTTGAGTGCCAACATGACACTCAATGAAAATGGGAGGCTCAACTGGTTGAGCATATATTACAAATATTGCGAAACCTGAAGAAATCCGAAATCCAAACACTGCTGGCCCCAAGAATTTTGAATAAGGGATACTACCTGTGTAGCCACATTGGTGGCTGTAAAGTAGGATCTTCCCTAAAGACATATGGTGTTGATCACATTTGCATGTTCTTATACTGACTGTCTATATATCTTTTGACAAATGTTTATTCAAATTCTCTGTTCATTTAAAAAATTGAGTTGTCTTTTGATTGCTGAATTGTAAGAGTTCTTTATAGATTCTGGATAGGAGACTCAGATATATGCTTTGTAAATATTTTCTCCTATACTGTGGGTTGTCTTATACTTTTTTGATAATGTCTTTTGACCAAAGTTTTCATTTTTGTTAAGTCCAATTTATTTTTTTCTTTAGTTTCTTGTACTTTGGTGTCACCTAAGAAACTGTTGCCTAATCTGAGGTCGTGCAGATTTACACCTATGTTTTCTTATAAATCTTATGGTTTCATCAGTTTGACTATTTCTATTAAAAAGGCAGTTGGAATTTTGATAGTGACTACTGATTCTGTAGATCCATCCGGGGAGTACTGTCTCCTTACCGACACAAGGCTTTCCAACCCATGTATATACAGATGGCCTTTCATATGTGGGTGTTCTTTAATTTCTTTCAGCAATGTTTTGCAGTTTTCAGTGTACAAATCTTACACTTCTTTGGTTCTATTTATTCCTAAGTATTTGATACTTTTTCATTGTAAATAAAACTGTTTTTCTTTTTCAGATTGTTTATGGCTAGTTATATCAAAATACCATAGACTTTTACATACTGAGCTTGTATTCCACAACTTTGCTAAACTTGTTTATTAGCGTGAATAGTTTCTTTGTATAAATTTTTTTTAGGATTTCTATAAATAAGATCATGCCACCTATGAAAAGAAAGTTTTGCTTTTTTCTTTCCAATAAGGATGGCTTTTATTCGTTTTCCTTGCTAGAACCTTTTCCCTGGCTAGAACCTTTAATACAATGTTGAAAAGTAGTAGCAAGAATTTCAAACACCCTTCCTGATCGTAGGGGAAAGGCTTTCAGTCTCATCATCAGGTATAATGTTATGAGTTTGTCATAAATAAATGCCTTTTTTTAGGTTAAGAAAGATCCTTTGTATTCCTAGTTTGTCAAATGTTTTTAATCATGAAAGAGATTTGGCTTCTGTCCAGTGCTTTTTCTGCATCTACTGAGATGATTATGTGGGTTCCTCCTGCTTTATTCTGTATCACATTGATTGATTTTCCTATGGTGAACCAACCTTGCATTCTTGGGATAAATCCCACTTGGTCATGATGTATAATCCTTTTAACAAGCTGAATTAAGGCTGCCACTATTTTGTTGAAAATGTCTGCACCTATATTCATAAGGGATGGAGTCTGTAGTTTTCTTGTGATGTTTTTTCCTGGGTTTGTTATCAATGTAATACTGGCTTCATTAAGTGAATTTGAAAGTGGTCTTCTACTTACTGCAAGAGTATGAGAAGGACTGGTGTTACTCTTTGTTTTAATATTTGGTAGAATTCACCAGTGAAGCCTGGTCCTGGGCTTTTATCATTGGGAATTATTGCATTACTAACCACATTTCTCTACTTGTTATAGGTCTGATTTTCCTTTTTTTTCTAGATTCAATTTTTATAGTCTATTCCTAAATAAAGAAGATTTGAGGTATTGAATTTCTAATATTTAATCTTTAATTTTATTGTTGAGTTAAGGAGACAAAAACATGATTTTTCATTCTACACATAAAGGCAATAAAAGGGTTAACTAATTTATTCCAAGTGAAATGTGACTTGTACTCTTGCTAGAATTAGAATTCAGTTTAACAAGTTATACAACTGCCCAAGCAAGGTTTCCAAAAGTGCGGGGTGCTCAGCAGGTTAGGGTAGTCAATCCCCACCCGGGTGCCAAGTCCCAGAACGTGTGCACTGTGCTCACTTTTGGCAGCTTCCTCTCCCTGGGTTGGCATCACTTTCTACCCCATCTACTTCTGGCCTCTTAATGAGGTTGGAAAAGTGCCAGAAGGAGTACGCCATGAATCGCGCTGAAATTGTTCAAGAACATGTGCTACCACCAGGGTTAAAAGTCTAGCCTAACCCATTTGGCAGGAAACGAGAAGGCTATCACCAACCCTGACTAGGAAAGGAGACTCTCTCATGTTTTCAATTCTGCTTGGAGTATGTACAATCAGTCACCGCACCATCAAACAATGGCTACAGAAGAAAACTCTACAATGCTGTAGACACGAATACTTGGAATCAAAGACTGCACAAGGATTAGTTAATATTTCCCTTCTTAAGTATCAAAAGAACTCTGGAACAAATGGTACCATTAGGAAGGTTTTCCGGATTTAGTCAACTATCCAAGAATTAAGTTGTCTCACCTACCTGTATGTGGGGCAATCTGCTTACTATTCTGCCATGACCACTTACCCAAGTGAGCTGTGGTATGAATACAAGCAACTGGTGGATTTGAGAAGGTCCAAGTGTATTTTTCCATCTTCCAAATCAGAGATTTCAGTTTTAAAAAAACAAAACAAAAACCTGCCACGCTGAGCTGCCTCACAGGGATCTTTGAAAATATTCAAGTAGCTAAAGCTCTTTGAGGACAAGGTAGTACTTTGTGCTGTTTAAGACTAAAAGTTCATCTAACCATCTCTTGCTGAAAATTGTTCCAGGTTGGAAAATAAGTAAAAATGAAGCAAATCAAACTAAATGGGTACTCATATATATAAGTCAATAATGAATTAACAGAAGGCAGCTGGGTGTGGCGGCTCATGCCTGTAATCCCAGCAATTTGGAAGGCGGAGGCGAAAGGACTGCCTGAGCTCAGGGGTTCAAGACCAGCCTGGGCAACTACTTGGTGAGACCTTGTATTTACAATAAATAAAAAAATTAGCTGGGCATGGAGGCATGTGCCTGTAGTTCCAGCTACTTGGAAGGCTGAGGAAGAAGGATCACCTGAACTCAGTTGGTTGAGACTGCGGTGGCTGTGCCACTGCACTCCAGCCTGGGTGACAAGAGTGAGATTCCTACTCAAAAAAAAAAAAAAAAAAAAAAGAATTAACAGAAGGGAAGATATGTATATTATTTTTAATTCAAAAATCAAAATGAAACAAACAAAAAACAGGTCACAGAAGTAAAGAGAAAAGACCTGGAAAGTTTCCTAGTCTTAATTTCACTATCAAATATAATGTTGACATTTCTTTTTTTTTTTTGAGTTGGAGTCTCACTCTGTCGCCCAGACTGGAGTGCAGTGGCCACTCCTGGCCACCACAGCCTCGACCTGCTGGGCTCCGGCGATCCTTCTGCCTCAGCCTTCCGAGTAGCCGGAATTACAGGCGCACGCTACCACGCCCGGCTGATTTTTTGATTTATTGTAGAGATGAGGTCTCGCCAAGTTGCCCAGGCGGGTCTCGAACCCGTGGGCTCAGGCAATCCACTCACCTCAGCCTCCCAAAGGCGCGGGATTACAGGCTGAGCCACCGAGCCCAGCTTAATGTTGACATTTCAACTGCCAGGAGGTACCCTGTCTACAGGGGTCACAAGTGTCCCCAGTACCTACACAGTACAGTTCTTTGAAAGCCAGCATCCCAGTTTCCCTCTGCTGTAATACCACTTGAATGGTTTAAGACCACTTCCTGGAGTCAAGTTTCCTCTTCTTCCTTCCTTCTATATCCTCTCTTCTTTCTAATTCAACAGGAAAACTAGAAATATTTATAAAAATACCTCACCCTTTTTTATCAAACTCCTGGTCCAACTCCTTCTGAATCATCATTTTCTGGGCCTTGTAATGGGTTATTATGCCAATGCTCCGAAAATTAGCATCCTTTCTTTTGTCTTTAATAAGCTTCATTATTTCCATCACCAGTTTTATTTCCTGAACATTTACATATGAGCTAAATAAGATGGAAAAAGAAAACACAACATATCAAAATTAATGGCAGTCTAATCACTAAGTTAAGTTCCACTTAGTTTGTTTCCCATCATAGCAAAGGGCAGGCAGACAGGCTGCATCAAAAAGCTGTGGAGACTCAAAGAGGCTGTTATAATGACCATTAACATTGCTCACAGAAATAAAGATGAAAAAAACTGCCCAGTGAAACATGATGTTGCAGAGAGAAAAGAGTTGGAATCAACTGAAGTTTGGGCACCAATTTCTTCACCTGTTAAAACAGGGACAGCAATAGTAGTTGGCAATATTATGCGTAAGAATAAAGAGGCGAAATATAAACAGCTAACGTGAATTGAGAATTGACTATCTTATGTTCCATTCTCCTTACTCCTGACCACTGGTCACGCACACCACATACTACACAGCCGAGCAGGCTCACGTCCTCACCATAGTCCTCACTGGTCTCACATCCTGCACTCCCAGCTCACTCCTCAAACTACACGTGTTCCTTCATTACCATACCAGTCCAAAAGCACTAACGCCAAGGGGTGCACTGAACCTACACCTTTATTCCTGAGGCTACCTTATCCGTCTCGCTTGGCGAGCCTTAAATACCCACCATCCTAACTCTGAGACTTAATATATAGACAACCTGTCAGCCAGCTAGCTCTTCCGTCCCTAAAACCTTTCTCCTTGGCCACCTCCCAGTTAAGTGTCTCTGGTCAACAGTTCTCTCATGACCTTCCATTCTCCTAAGACACCGGGGCTACCCTCTCAACCTCCGCTCTCCTCCAAGAGGCCCCACTCAAGTCTTGACCCCGCAATTCCTTGGGCACTGCAGTCCACAACCAACTGCCTCTGTATTTGTAACTTCTTCAGTGAATGTCCCTCTGCCACTTCTGTATCTTAACACTTGACTCTCGCCCCACGACGCCACCTCATTCTCATGCGATGAAAGCGGAATTTACATCTCCTCATACGTTATGACAAAGGTGGCATGTGTACCTGTGCTAACATGCTGCCTCCAGACTCCTCCTCCTCCACCATCACAAGAGTTCCTGGCTCCCCTGATGCTGCTGCTATCCAGTAATACCACACTCCTCCTCGCTGTCATTTTCAGACTGCCTGAACCCCCTCCCTTATTCACATGCCAATATTCTCCAACCACTGTCTACTTCCTTGCTGCCCTCACACCTCAATTCCATTGTACTTATCCTTCACAGAACTTCACCCAGCTGGAATAATTGCTTACAAGGCACTTACTTAGTTAAGATCTGCCTCCCCATTAGATCAGTCATTTTGTAATGGGGCTCCGTCTGTTTCACTCACTCCTGCGCTCTCAGCATGCACCTACTTGAGTGCTTGCTGACCACCTTGGGGAGTATTACCCCCATTATACAGAAAAAAGGAAAAGTCATCTACCTAGCTGAGCGAAGATGACTGTGCCCTGGCGCGAGGCAGAGAAATGTATACAGAAAATGTTTTTTAATACAAATCTGAATGAAAATAATGCAACAATCCTGGGATCATCACTGGGATTGAAGTAAGAGGAGAACATACTCATTATCCCGTCTTTCTGAACCATCTCCGACATCAAACACGAGGTATGGTTGAAATGGCCACTCTGATGAACAGCGAATGGCTTCTGTCATTCTATAAAAAAGCAGCCAATTCAGAATACAAGTCAAGATATAAGAAAATATGTTATTATTATTACTACCCTTTTTTCCATGTTGGGGAGGACTCTAGGGCAAGTAAGGGAACAAAAGGGACCTTCTTTTATAGATGTGTATCAGTGAAAGGCTCAAAATAAATTTCATTTCTATTGTAGTGCTTCATCATTAAAATACAACAATTATGATTGGAGAGTCACTCATAATAAACAGAAAAAAGCACACCACAAAATACTATGCTGAGTATTGTTCAACTTTTTTCTTCAAAAAAGTTGAAAAAAGAGTAAAAAAGACACTATGCATAGTAAAAGGACTGGAAGTAGATATACCAAAATGTTACCAGTGATTACTTCTGGGTAGTATAAATATGAGTGATATTTTTCCCTTCATTTTTAAAATCTGCATTCACTATAATCAACATGATGGCATTCATAATTAAGAGAAAATTACTAAATCTTCATGCTTTATACTTTTTTTTTTGAGGTGGAGTCTCACTCTGTCACCCAGACTGGAGTGCAATGGCATGCTACCGGCCACCGCAGCCTCAACCTGCTGGGCTCCAGCGATCCTTCCGCCTCAGCCTTTCAAGTAGCTGAAACTACAGGCGCGCGCTACCATGCCCAGCTAATTTTTGATTTATTGTAGAGATGAGGTCTCGCCAAGTTGCCCAGGTGGGTCTCGACCCACGGGCTCACACAATCCACTTGCCTCCGCCTCCTAAAGTGCTGGGATTATAGGCTGAGACACCAAGCCCGGCCACTTTACACTTTTCATGAAAAGACTTAAGAGCACAGTTCAATGGCTATTATTCCTAAGCAGCTGAACCTACAGATAAGCTCACAAGCAATGGAGACTCACCTATTTGTTTTCAAGTTTTTGCTGTAAATATAATGAGAAGGAAAGAGACATATGTCCGGATGCATCCTGTACTGAACAGTAAGCTGTAAGATAGGCAGCCTGCCGATCACGTTGTGTTCCACATTCTCTTCCAGCAGTTTGTAGAAGCGAGCCAACATTGATTGGTCGTAGCCATACTCCTGTGCTTTCTGAGAAGGGGGAAAATAGAGCAATAATTTCCAGGAATTTATTTATGCTTTTCCCACTGTTATAAAAACAATTACTGAGTTCTAATACATACATGGCAAGGTTCAGGGGGCATACAATTACCAACAACCATAGATTCAGAGAAAAGAGATGTTGCTGGGCCCAATCTTCAAAGAGCCATGAATCCTGAACATAAATTGAGGTATTTTATCTTTATTTAGAAACCCACATACTGCTTATGAGAGAGGATGTTACCTTGTGAATGACTACAACTGATGCTATATTGATGCTAAGAGATAATAATTCATAACAAAGTATGCAAAGAAATGTAACAGATTTTAACAATTATTTCTGGAGTATGCCCCATAAGCAGAAGTACCTAATGTCCTTGTAAATAAGCTTTTTAAAGACAAGTCTCTTCATCCATCTCTCTAATAATATGTACTAAGTACCTACAATCAGGAAAGCTGAGACGGCTCTGGTGAATAAGGTCATCAAGTCTCACAAAACTTACATCCCAGCGGAGGAAGCAGACTTACAGGCGGAGCATCCCCCACTAAAACTCAAAATGCTCCAGTGAGCACATCCTTTGAGCATGACCTTTGAGCGTCATGTCAGTGTTTTAGAGTATATCAATTTCAGATTAGGGATGCTCAACCTGTACTAAATTGATTTCACAAACCAAATAGTGGGTTATAACCCGCAATCTGAAAAACAGTGATCTAAATGACAAATGAAGAAAATTTTTCATATTATCACAGTTAGGCCTTAGGACATACTTTTCAATGTCAGCATCATACAGAGATTCAAAATTACTTCTTTTTTTTTTTTTTTTTTGAGTTGGAGTCTCACTCTGTCGCCCAGACTGGAGTGCAGTGGCCGCTCCCGGCCACCGCAGCCTCGGCCTGCTGGGCTCCGGCGATCCTTCCGCCTCAGCCTTCCGAGTAGCCGGAATTACAGGCATGCGCCACCACGCCCGGCTGATTTTTTGATTTATTGTAGAGATGAGGTCTCGCTGCCCAGGCGGGTCTCGAACCCGCGAGCTCAGGCAATTCACTCACCTCAGCCTCCCAAAGGCGCGGGATCACAGGCTGAGCCACTGAGCCCGGCCAAAATTACTTCTTAATTAACATATTATTTATATGTGTGATTTTACATAGGTTTGTATAACTAAGTAACAATGTTAATAGACATTTGACAATCTCATCTATATCCCCCAAAATGTATCTATTTGAGTTAGCCCAAAACCTAATTTTGAATCTTCTCTTTGGGGAAACAGAAAAATGACTTACATAACACATCTACTTCCAGGCAAAAAAATAGTTCATCCTACAAAATAACACAGATTTATATATTCTGACATGGAAGGATGTCCATGATCTATTTACTGACTGAAAAGTAAGTAGAGTCAATTATACACAGAATGATTCCACTACCTTTAAATAAAATCAAGCCCATATACACATAAGCATAAGCACATATATGTATACAAGCCTTCTAGCATTATATACCATATTTTAGTAATTTACTGCCTGCTGTTCCCTAAAAAGCATACTCCATGAGGGCAGGGATTTTGTCTATTTCCTCACTGTCATAACCCCACTACCTAAAACAATGCCTGAATTATGTTGGTACTCAATAAATATATTCTGAAAAACATGAATAACTGCACACACAAATGTCCAGCAAAATTTGTTAAAATTCTTACTACATGGGGCAATCCCTTCAGGTCTCTTCCCACTGTGGGAGCTTCTCTGTCCTCTCAATAAATCCTCTTTCTCACTTAAAAAAAAAATCCTTACTATACTGTACACAGTAATGATCTCTAAAAATAGGTGGTCGGAAAAGCATGCTGCGGAAATAAACTTTGTAATTATTCTCTCAATAAGTCTGCTTATTTGTATAATACTAAAAATAACCACAAATGGATGGGTTTTCTCATTTTCGCTGTTTTTATACATCATTAAAGTAGACAGTAAAGTTGAGGACCACTGACAATCCCTTTTCACTCTATGCTAAGCCCTTCAAGAAGTTAAGTCAGTACATTTATAAAACCCTGCATTGGGCCAGGCGCAGTGTTTCAAGCCTGTAATCCCAGAACTTTGGGAGGCTGAGGCAAGAGGACTGCATGAGCTCAGGGGTTCGAGACCAACTAGATGAGACCTTGTGTCTACAATAAATTTATTTAAAAAAAAAAGCCAGGCATGGTAGATCATGCCTGTAGTTCTAGCTACTTGGAAGGCTGAGGCAGAAGGATCGTCTAAGCCCAGGAGGTCAACGCTGTGGTGGCCATGAGCATGATACTGCACTCCAGCCTGGGTGACAGAATAAGACTCTGACTCAAAAAAACAAACAAACAACAAAAAAAACCCCAAAACCCTGCATTATTAAAAAATGTGGGACACAGAGTTGACTCTCTTGGTGGCTCCCCATAAACTGAGTCCCTTGCAGCAGTTCTTCCCGATGGACACAGTTTTTTGCTTGGTGTGCTTCTGGGCTACACCCTAGGACGATCATGCAACTGTGCTCACATGTCATACAAAGAACTGCACTATTCTGAACAATTCCAAAGTCCAAATCCACTAACAAAAACCAAAACCTCGTGCATTCATTCCATAATGCAACACAAATGCTCTGAAAATGCTCTACTCTCTAGGGTTGTTTATAAGGCCACTACTCTATATTAATTTTTTGTTGTTTTTTTTTTTGAGTTGGAGTCTCACTCTGCTGCCCAGGCTGGAGTGGAGTGGCACACTCCCGGCCACTGCAACCGCGACCTACTGGGCTCAGGCAATCCTTCTACCTCAGACATCCAAGTAGCCAGAATTACAGGTGTGCGCTGCCACTCCTCGCTAATTTTTTTTACTTATTGTAGAGACAAAGTCTCGCCAAGTTGCCTGGGCTGGTCTCAAACCTATTGGTTCAGGCAATCCACTCGCTAGGCCTCCCAAAGTACTAGGACCACGGGCTGAGCCACTGAGCTTGGCCTACATTTGTATAAATAATCTATGTTATCAGTAAAAAATACGCATTTTATTAAATTTCAAAACCACAGTCTAAGTCTTTCAAATTACTCCAAACATCTACTGCCTGCTGATTCTAAGAGACAACTTCAGTGAGTTTAAAATGACAAAACATAAAAAGTCTTTAAACCACCATCTAGGTGTTTATCTCCCCACAGGCAGAGTTCACAATCCCTTATCCCCTGCATCTGCAATTTCAGATGATTCCTTGTTTTTAGAGTTATTTTTTATTACGTATTTATTTTTGAGTTGGAATCTCACTCTATTGCCCAAGCTGGAGTGCAGCAGCACAATCATCACGGCTACCATAGTCTCGACATGCTGGGCTCAGGCAATCCTTCCACCTCATTCTTCTAAGTAGCTACAGGCTAAGAACATTCTTCTAAGAACTACGGCATGAGCCACCACACTCAGTTAATTTTTTTTTTTTTTTTTTG